ATCTCTTCGACTCTCATTTGATTGCTTGTTCTTCAACGAATGATGATTTGAGTCTTTGAATGCTTAAGAAAATATATTCATGAAAAAACTCAAGAAACAAAAACTGGTTAGAAACAAAAGTGTATTGTTTGTTATAATCAAAACAAGTGGAGCTATATTAAATCATATGTCAACAATTTCCCCCTTTTTGATTATGATAAACAATATGTGATTTGTTGAAATATACAAAATATTCCCCCTATCTTTTACACATCAATGGGAACCACGTTTGTATCATATATAGCATGATGTTCTAAAGACATGCATTTCCACAACTCATTGACATAGTAAATCACTTCTAGAAGTCATCATACTTTATAGAAATAATTGAACTTACAAATTCCATAATGATAACAAGTCACAATTACAATCACATTTTCCTTCATTTCCCCCCTTTTGGCATCATAAAAAAATGGAATGGGAACAATGAAACTAAAAGAAATTTCTCCTTAATTAAGGCATAGGTGCAAGTTAAGATAAATAAGTGAAATATAATCAACAATTCGTAACAAGTGATATAAATCATAGGTCATGAAATAAGAATATAAATAAGTTAAAAGTACGATTCAAAGTGCATCAAACAAGATAATGTTTTTGAGAAGAAGTTTTCCATAGGTTAAAACTAAATAGAACAATAACAAGAAGAAAACTTCAATCGTCTGCCGGTGGAGGAGGGCCTCGATGATAAATGGAGTACATGTGTGCAAAGAAGGCCTCCTGTGATAAGCTCATTTGCTCCATCCTATGCTCAAGAGCATCCATTCGGCTAGTGATGGTAGTAGCAAGGGAATCAATTCATCCTTGGAGGATGTTAAGTTGATCTTCGGACATTTGTCGGCCTGGAGTGGGTGCAACTTGTGGAGTAGACCTACGTCTTGCTTGCGGTGCATCATCGTCATCACCACCCATTTCTTTTTCTACCTCTTCTTCGGTGAATGGCCAAATAGTAAAACCTGAAATATTGTCGAAGCCTTGAGTGTGACATACCCATTGTCCGTCTCCTTTAACGATTTTCATGCGTTTAAGGGTGTTAATGTTAATGACGTCGGTGTGTTTTGGTTTAAGAATGGGCTCATCGTCTAATGGCACGTTGAAGTGTTGAAATATTTTAGTGAGTAGCATGCCATAAGGTAAACCTAAGATACAAGAAGATGAGTGAAGTGCCGAACGTATTTCAAGAAAATGTATGAGAAGTCC